TGTTTCAATTTTGATCAGATTTGTTGAATTCGGCCCCAAATTGGCATTTTGGGCCAGAATATTGTAATATTTCATGTTGCCAGACGGGCCATAAGAGGTTGATATTCAGGGCCAAGTACTGTTCTTTTTCGTTATGAGAGTATTTTTCTGAGCACTTTGCCTACTATACTAGTACGTATATTATGCTTATGTTAGAATATAAAGCGCGTCTATTAACACTGTAAATGAGGATGTATACACTGTAATGTAATACGACGAAAAATTACTGCTGTTCAAAGTTTGCAGCATCTCTTTAGCGAGAATATTAACATTAGAAGTGTTTCAATGCTCACGTCGTACGGTAGACAATTTTGATACTACGTAGTATTATCGGTAAAGTAACTGTTTATAGCTCGCTTTTTTGTAGCAAGAATCATCCGTGGGGATATACCCAATTCTCGAATTTATCCCACTGCATCCCCGTGCATCCCAAAGAATAATTGTGGACGTCATCATGGTGACCAGCCACCAGCGTGAACCGTACCCCTTCCCCCCGGATAACGTACATGTATTAATGCTATGCCCGGGTTTACTCATTAGCAATTTGCATCCCCCTTGCGAGTTGTGTGTTCTGCATCCAAAATTGCATCCACTTGCATCCATTGTCCCAGTTTATCCCATTTGGGAATATCTTAACTTCAACCTGGCTTGTCCCAGTCCAGTAGAATTCCCTCATTAAAACAGTGTCACTGTTGATTTCTCAGAAAATACTGCAATTTGAGTGCTTATATGGAACATTGTATTCTCGGACCCCGAGATTTAATATTGGATGTACTCACCAGAGGTAGGATGGATTACGAAATGGTGTATCCGGATGGGATAACTCCTAGCATTTCGGGTCAAAACAACAATGGAACAGTTTTATTCCCTAGCGGATCCAGCACTATGTACTACTACGTATTAATAGTAACTTATTAATACCCCGCACTGGTAGAACTTGTATTCAGCTGTCAATTTCGATGCCACTGGAATATTTGCAATATACACAACAGTAGCTGTTGTTGTTAACTGTGACGTGACGAGTACAGTCTGCGACGGTAGACAGTAAACGAGTATTTCAACACGTTGGTTCAACCCTTTCAGCAGTGAGGAATGTCATGGTCGGCAAGTTGCGGCAGCTAGTGTGCTGGGTGCACCGGTTGGTTGACTCTGAGGCTTACTAATTACTACTTCGAAGTATTAATAGGAGGCATTCAAATTGGTCATCAATTGATAAAAGCAAGAAAAATGATACTGTATGTTTGGGCGGCCTGCAAGAGTTTCGTGTCGACATCAAAGGCTTCTGACTCAGTGAACCAAATTGAACACGAATAGTCCTATATGGTGGATACGACATTAAGCTACCATATAAGCTATATTACAACGTCATATTCGTCCTGTGGGCGGAGGAGATAATGCAGACGTGAAATACCATTTTCCCTCCTGACGTCCACTGTTGCAATATTAAATGTTCGCTGACAAATCTCACTTGACACTATAACAAAATTATGACATCAACAATACATTTCTTGGTCATTATAACATGAAGCTGCTCATCGAAATCGTGACAAGTGCATGGTACATCCGCACGTTTTAGACGTGAAATCATGTGTTCATGTCAGTTACCATTACCGGTACAGTATGACGTGCGTCAACTTTCATATCAAGCGACGGCAAGCGATGTAATTGCCTTAGAACTTTGCTTGTACTTACATAGGTAGTATTGAAATGATGTGCTCAATTCCATCCGACGAATGTTCATGTCAGTACGAGCGAGTTGAGCCAAAGCAACGATATAAGGTTTGAATATACTGTACGAATTTCGGTACCAAGAACTTTACAGTATCGGCCCTCGCGGAGAAATGTCTTAAACAAATGATAATCCAAACTCAATTGTCAAGAAGGGGCACTTTGGCCGTTCTTGCTTTGGCCTTTTTTTGCCGTGGCTCGGTCACTTACGGATAATATCCGGTGTTCTTTCTCTGTAGAAGCCGGACTGTTTCTGCCCAATCATACGTCAGCTAAGCAGTCTGTTAATGTTCACTTTTGGTTTTGTCCTCGACCACACAAGTGTTCTTCGTCGTCGCTCCTCCTCAGTGCTACCCCCTTTATCCTCCCTCTTGACAGGTTATGAGCCTCCTCCCTTCCTATGTGCAGCCCTTCGTGGGAACCCCACTCGACGACCTCCGGCCTCTGGCCTAGACCTTGTGCAAGACAGAACATTGGATTGTTGACTCTGGCACCTCTGCCTCATGCACCCCCAACCGAGATTATTTCTCCAACTAAGTAACTTGCGCACTGTCTCTTACAGTCGGGAGGAACGGCGCCCAACCTCCTGTCCTTGGCTATGGCCCTCTTTCTTTGGCCGTGGACATGTCGTCCCGTGACCAAGCTGACGATATTCGTCCATGCGCTCTGCGCCTTACCTTTGGCCTACATTGCCCTGAGCTACAGTTCAACTTGTTCTCGGTTCGCCAAGCAACCGATGAAGGTATCGCAGTCCGTTTTATGGCTCGCGCGACATGTGCGAAATTACCACCTCTCTTGGTGATGTGCTTCGTGCACCTAACAATGCTATGGGTTTATACTATTTTCCCTGCCAGCCCAAATGCGAGCCCTCAACCAATCCGCACCGTGGCGAGTATATCCATCCTGGCCAAATGGCTATGCTTACTGGCATGATGGCTACTTTTGAGACCGCTCTGCGGAAATTCTCCTCGCCCTACAGTGGATTTTCCACTTTTAACGATCAATTGCACATGTTTGCATATTCGTCTGTGTTGCGCTATGCGCCAATCACTCAACAACCATCTATGGTCTCCAAGCCATCACCGTTCTACCCAATTACCCCAGACTCTGTCTCGATGAGTGTAGCCCAGGCTATGCTTGGTTCACACACTTCCACACCTGTCTATGACACTACTACTGTTCCAACCGACTGCCTTATTAGCCTCGTGGCTGACTCCAAGCTATCGGCATCTAGCCTTGCGCGTCTATGGCACCGCCGTCTTGGCCATCCAGGCGTTGATGCCTTCAACCAAATGACAAAGACAAACCCTTATGCTCTTCAAGGCCAAGCACCTTCGTGGTCAACTATGTGAAACTTGTGCTTATGCCAAGTCTAAGCGCAGTCCTTTTGACTCATCTGCGGTCTTCCGCGCGACCTCCTACCTAGCCCTCGTACATTCTGATGTTTAAGCCCGATTCTGTCGGCGGGTGGCGCTGCCTACTTTGTCGTATTTATCGACGATTACTCCCGCTTTATGTGGACTTACCCCATGCGCAAAGATCTCTATGAGACCTACGAATTATTTCGTACGGACGCGATGTCCATTTTTAAACTTGATGTTTGTGAGCTACGCCACTCATCACCTATGGACATCGGCACCCTTCAAAGTGACAATGCGAAAGAGTACGATATACGAGAAACTCCGGCGCATCATCAAGCCCAAGTACAACACTCGGGTGGCTTTCTCTAACGCCTACTCCCCCTAGCAAAACGCTGTTGCCGAACGCCGTATCGGCATTGTTGGCCAAAGATGCGAGCTATGCTCGTTAAAGGGGCTCTGCCCAAGTTCCTATGGGCTCTTGCCCTTGATTATGCCGCATGGCTTATCAACATCTCTCCTTGGGCATTCAACAAAGGTGTTTCACCCTACCACGTCGTCTTTAAACGACACCCACCTTTGGGTCACATCAAAATCTTTGGTTGCACCGCGTTTGTGCACATTCAACGTGCCGCGCAATCATTCAAGCTCGATCCCAGTGCCGTCAAGGCCATGTTTGTGGGTCTCCCACATGATCGCAAGGGTTATATCCTCATGCATTTGCACTCTCACCTACTTATCTCCTCTCGTGACGTCACCTTCTCGGAGTCCGAATTCCCAGCCATCAACTCTGTTGCTGCTGCTGCGGCTTATCGCCAAAAATCTACGACCGACCCCAACTTTATTCCAACCTTGGAACTCAACACACCATTGCCGCCACTACACTCCATCATTACCAACAGGCCTATTGGCTTCGTCGCCACCCGTTCTCTCTATGGAACCCCCGTCGTCTCGACCCATCCAAGCACTTTCTGTGCAACTAACACAACGAATTGACTAGTCCGGTCTTTGACCCATCTGCTACCTCTTTACGACGATCCTATGGTGGCAACCAGTCTGCCTTCTCGGCCCATCTACCCTTAGCTTTGTCGGCTCAGCATCAATGGCCAAAACATCCATTTTACTTGAGTTTTAGGACGGTAGACATGACATTAAAATACGAAGTGAAATTCAAAACCACCTTCGTCCCCCCTGAAAGCAAAGTTCAAAACTCTTATTGGACCAGACGAAAGAGCGCGAAACAGGCTTCAAAATCATGTATTTGTAGAGGCAAATGCTGACCTGGACGATTTGATTTCCGAGTTTTGTCGTCACCATACATAAATTCGTATAAAACATACACTCTACTGATCAACACTCCACCTTATTGCCTTGCCTCACTTTCAAATGGCGCCAGGTCGGCACGAGTTGACAAACACTGAGCGCGAGGCAATCCTGCTAGAGGCTCTGATGCGCAGCAACGGCACCTTCATGACCAAGATGCCTAAAGGGTTCAGCTCCGAGCTCGCTGCCAAGTACAGCTGCCATGTGTCATGCATTCGCCGTATATTGGCACGTGCAAAAGCACAGGGCATTTGTGATGGCAACATGCAGGTGATCTATAGCGGTTAATACATTTGTGTTGTATAAACGATAATAAGTGGCGCATGCAGGTTCAACGTTGATAGTCGGAAGAAAGGGCGAATACAGACGACGAGGGATTTTAAGGGGCACTTGGCACTTCCAATTTAGCATGAAATCGTAATATGATTGGCTTAAGAACGACGAAATTCGAGAATAATTGTAGCCAACCACACAGCAGCAGCTGCATTTACACAGTTTTGGCACGTATTTTATAATAATTGGATTGATAGTTCAAGATATTTTTTGTCTATTGGCGCTGTGGCGCAGTGGTTAGAGTGTCAGATTGCAAAGCGTGAGACTCGGGCTTCGAATCCCCACCTGGTTGTACCTTTTTACATTTTTACACACATCTACATACAAAATCACATACTATCCGAAAACCTCTATACTTCGTAGTGAAACTCTTTGATGGAGCAGTGTACATGGCCAGACGCTGACCTGACCTTGAAAGGCGCTGTTGGAGAAACGACTGTGAGCGTCAGTACAATTCGCTTGTGTAACGGCGCCTGAGCAAGGTAGGTATGTAGTGATTCCGCTTCAATTACTCCCTGGTCATCCACAAGCAACATCTCATGCGTCAAGGACATCGCCCTGTGAACAAGCTTCGTCAACATAATCTTCCAATATATTTCACCCAGCAAGCGATTAATTTCGCCAAAAAACCCAACCATACAGGACACGTACTGGTGGTATACTAAGCTTATCTACCTACGCTTGGGTATGTTGGACTCCATGGCCATTACTTCACCGACAAGTGACAACTTGGCTTGCAGACACAGATGCACGTTTTACTTGTTAGATCAATGACCTTACGTTAGAACACTGTTTGGCTAAGGTCGAAAACGTCAAAGCTTACCAGACCGAAGATCCGCCGAGCATTGGACTCCTCTGACATATGCACAAGCGACATCGTCCATTGGAGTCCAACGCACGGCGGATGTGCGCACGCACATGCGGTAAAACTTCTCTATACAGTGCATTGCGGAGATACGGGTCAGAGTAACTTTTGAACAATTATACTAGTACTCCCAATTGTGGGTAGGTGGAGTCTCTGTACTTGATTGGCCAATTCTCGAATTGTTTTCTGTAGCCAATAGAAAACGTATTTGACTCTGATTGGCTCATCGTATATCAAACCCAACCATGGGGTAAGGAATGCGTGTGTGCAAAGTCAGCAGCGGTAGTCGCAGTTGTGCTGTAGTAGTTGAGCACGAAGTTATGAATACCCACGTCTTGCAATGCACCACTGCATTCCTTTATCTTTTTTATCCTGAAAGTCATCCACAGTTTTCCCCTCCCACACTTCAAAGAGACCACTTTCGCCAGATGGAGTACGGTATTTGTCTGGAAGATGGGACATGCGGGAATAACGTCTCAACGTAAATGACTTGTTCAAAGTAGAATTATTTCAGTCAATTAGGAAGTAAGTTACTTACTGTCGACTCACCCAACAAACTTGACGCAATGAATTTTATTTAAATTTGTTGGCATGATACAACACTTGACTTTATTAGTCATTTGCCTCCTCATGAACACAACTCCTTTGGAGTCGCTTGACACCTACCACAATCATATGCACCATGCACTCGTGCTTGCGCCGCCTAGCTCCATGCCACCTTCGAGCTCTGCTCCTACTTTGGTTCCTATGGAACCATTGTTCGTCTATGCTTTGCTTGCCGACCGTGCCAACAACAACGACCCCAGAAACTGGCGTGATGCCATGTCCCGCCCCGACCGCGACAAATGGCTTACAGCCGCCAAGTCCGAATACGATCCTTTACTCTACAACGGCACTTATGTGCTCGTCAAACGTCGTCATGATGAGACGGTTCTACGTTCTACCGTGTCGCTGGGTCTATCGACTCAAAGCCGATGGCACTTACAAGGCCCGACTTGTCGTCAAGGGGTTCATGCAGCAAAAAGACATCGACTACACGGACATTTTTGTTCTTGTTGTTCGACTTGAAGTCGTACGCTTCCTAAGTGCCTTAGTGGAATCCATGATTTGGAATGCGAACAAATGGACGTCAAACCTGCCTTTCTAAATGGCAAAATCATACGCATGGAGCAGCGTCCTGGCTCACTCATTGATCATGCCTTTAGGTGTGACTGTGTCTGCCTGCTTCAAAATAGTGTTTATGGACTCAAACAAGCCCCTCACCTATGGTACTGGACTTTTGTCACTTATATGGCTTCCTTTGGCTTTGCCCGCCTTCAAAAAGACCACTGTGTCTTTCTCAACGCCCGATATGATGGTTTTACCATCGTTAGTCTCTATATCGACGATCTTTTGATCATTACTCCTACCAAGGCTCTTGCTGCCGCTCTCAAGGAGTCACTATCACTACGCTTCCAGATGAAGGACTTAGGTCCTGTTCGAGATATTCTCGGCTGGGAAATCGTCCGTGACCGTCCCAAACGAACTCTTTTCATCCATCAATCACGTTACTGTTCTACAGTACTTGATCGTTTTGACATGTCAACGTCGAAACCCGTCGCCACTCCTTTTGAGTGCATCACGCCTTTACCCAAGGCTCAGTGTGCTAGTTCACCTGAAGACATTGCTTTCATGCAAACAAAACCGTGTCGGTCAATAGTTGGAAGTATTATGTACTTAGCCATGGGCTCTCATCCAGACTCGGCCTATGCCCTTCAACAACTCTCGTAGTTTCAGCACAACCCGGGTCTTGACCATTGGCGTGCTGCCAAACGCGTTCTACGCTACCTCCAAGGCACTTCCAATCTTGGACTTATGTTAGGCGGCCGAGACTATGTCTCCAAGCCGTTTCTATCCGCTTATTTGGATGCTAACTATGTGATATGTGCCCCAATACTCGGCGCTGTGACAGTGGATTTTTATCCTAGTTTTTAACAGCCTTATTTCATGGCTTTCAAAGAAACAAGGAATTGTGACACTGTCAACAACCGAGGCCGAGTTTGTGGCTCTTGTCCTTTGCATTCAAGAATGCTTATACGTTCGCCAACTCGCTGTCGAACTACATCACACTAGTGATCAATCGATTTCGGTTCATGAGGACAATCAGTCTGCTATCAGCATCGCCCAAAATGCTGAGCATCATGGGCGCTCCAAGCACATTGATGTGCGTTTAATGTTTGTTCGATATCTCGTTGAGAACAAGGAGTTTATTCTCCATTATTGTCCTACCAAAGAACAAATTGCGGACTTCTTTACGAAGGCGCACCCGGAACCTTCGTTTCGCAGGTTCTGCCTCGCTCTGAGACTTTATGCCCTTGGTGACTGACTACCTTTGTGGCCGTGTACCTCAGTGACCCTTGCCTATGGCATTGTGTTTACTACCTCTGGTAGGTATTAAGTGCAGGCAAACATTCAATGCAATACAAAAACCAAGTAAAACGAATCTGTATTTAAAAAATTTACACTACAGTCGAGAGTACTCATTCTCGTAGTACAATCTCATGTCCAGATTGACCAGTTCTTTGGCTCAGTTGGGAGCGCGTCTACTTATAGATCCCTTTACACCTAATCAAAGTAGGACAAGAACTCACCGATGGTCGCTGGTTCAGTCCCAGGTTTCCTCAGGTCCTTGGCATCGACACCAGGAAGCCTAGTTAGGGTCGAGTCAGAACCCTCCCCTTTCACTACTACCATGACCTGCATCAGGTCACAGGCATCGCTCATGCGATCCTCTGCTTCCAGGCACGTATCCATCAATTCCAATACAATCGCGTCATCCTCAGTCACATCGCTCCTAGGGATCTTGTAGCTGTTCTCGCCATTAACCCCAACAATCGCATGCATTAGCCGTCGCCAGGTTCGAAACGTCTTCTCTAAAGTCAATGATGGCAGACTTGAACGATTCCTTGACAGGTCCTCCATGGACCGACATTTTCATTTGCTGCTACAGTGACCGAATTGAGTTGAAGAAGCCCAGGTCTAGGTAGAACTTGGGTCCTCAGTCGCCGGACCTGAACGTTCTAGACCTGCACATTAGCTGGATGTTCCAACCACCCTCAGTTGCTGCTTGAACTAACCAGGCATCGTCGACAGCAATGTGCCCCATTTGTTCTTACTTGCTGACGCTCTTGGTACAGCGCCATGCACTTGTCGTTCGTCAAATTTGATTTGGAATTTGTATTGCGAGCAGACTTGGAGTCGTAGCAAGTGCGAATGTGGTCATATAATTCAACAAAGAATATGATCAGAATCGCCTCAATGAAACGAACACGCTCCACTAAGTTTTAGGCCAATCGGATAACTGGAACACTAATTTTTGTCACCGCCTGTACTTACCAGAGGTAGTACTTTATATTAAGCCTTTATGGTTATTTATTATTGAAATTTATCATGCATTATTTGCACCTGCTTTCTAAGCACACACTTTTCATTCACCGCCTTCATTCTCGCCCTCGACCATGTGGCGACTTGTGCACTCTGTGTCTGCTCGTGCCGTTTTGAAGTCGGCGGTCCCGTCTGGCCCGCGGCGCTGCTCAAGGTAGCCTTCAATTCTATTGGTCGATTTTTGAATGATGGCTGAATGACTTGCACGTCCAGTCATCAGCATGATCATTGTTCTACACACCAATGCCTGCCATCACCACTGAGCTGTACGATGAGATCACAAGTTTCATCGATACTGAGCGAACGAGGAGTTTGTCACGAGACGAACGTCTATTAATTCTTCGCATGCATGCACAACTTCGACGTCGTAACGCCGTAGGTGTTTCAGAGCAGATTACACAGCTGGTAGGTCGAAGCCTCCATGCTGTAAAGGAAGTCTGGTCGGAATATCTACGAGATAAGAATGTAACTACTGCTCGAGTTGCTGCGAATAGATCTAGCCGCAATACACGCATTCCAGACACCAAAGAGGTCTTGTCCATCATTCAGTCATTTGTTCGTGAGCGTAGGTCAACTCGCACACGAGTAGTGGCAAAAGATGTGATGAGTTTATTGTACGAACATGGTATTGTGAAGTATGATCCTCAAAACAAGAAAGCTGTGAATGCATGTTCGCGTGTAGTACAGAAATTCCTTGTAAAAAAGGGATTTCGACGTGGCCAACGAAAGGGTAACCATTCTGTTAAACTTTCTGACGCTGTGGCTAGTGCTAGGGATAAATATGTTCAATATATGACGACGGCTATTGAGTCTTCACTGCCTCGGCCGGTAATATACTTAGATGAATCCCATATTCCTCATCA